CCGCGTAACTCCCAGTTTCAGACTCCTTAGCTTTTGAGGTCTTAAAGAGTTAAGACACACATCCAACTTTCAGATATGAACATCCCTAAGCCTCTTAATCCATAATGTTGGTGACTTTAAGACACACACTCCTAAGCCTCTTTGTATGAGAAATATCTCCAAGAATGTGAAATCTCTCTCGAAAGTTCCTTAAACTTTTTATAGTCTTTCGGGCCATCCGGCCCTTTAACCGGGTCAAAAACGGCTTAAAACGGGGTAAAAAAGAGAAAAACGGACTTAAGGAGCCGAAACTCCTCTTAGGAACCGAAACCCCTCTCAAGGAACCGAAACCCTCTCAAAGAACCGAAACCCTCTCAGGAACCGAAACCCTCTCAGGAACCAAAACCTCTTAGAAGCCAAGACCGAGCCCCAGCAACCGAATTTGGAAGAGGTGAAGCCTATCGGGCCGAATCTAAGAAGAGGCGAAGCCTCTTGGGCTGAATCTAGGAAGAGGCGAAGCCTCTCGGGCCAAAACTAGGAAGGGCGGAACTCTCAGACCGAACCTCACTTATGGCCACTGAGATCGAGCCTCGTTCTCGGTTCCTTCTTTTGGTCTTTCGGTCTTCTCTTCTACTCTCGGTTCATTCCCCTCCTCTCGGTCTTTCTCTACTCGTCTCGGTTCCAAGCATCAGAGGGCCGAACCTCCGACCAGACTTCGGATTTTTGACGCATTTCACCCATTTTCAATATTTTTAACATTTTAAGCTCGTTTATCGAGATTTTAACGCGGGATTTTCACTCAAACTCGTATTTTAACATAATAAACCCTAAATATTCATAATTTAATCATATTTTCATGAAAATCCTTATTTAAATAATAAAATCTAGTGGGTGAATAATTGAGGTGGAGTGTTGACTTTGCTTTACCTTATCACACAAGCAACCACTCCCATACCCACTCCATGTCACTATTCACCATCAGCCCATCCCTAGTCACTTCATAAGTCCTTTCTCATTATTTACAGCCATTTCATGTTCTTAGACCTAGAACATCCACCCTCTCTCCTCACACTTCATTCATTATCTCATTTTTCCACCAAGAATCACACTCCAATCTCTCTCATCTTTCTCTCTCAAATTCGAGAACTTCAGGGCATACTCCAAGACTTTTCTCCTTCATTTAGTAAGTATCATCATCTTTCCTATGATTATTACACATCCTCCTACTCAAAATCATAGATTGCTTACACCAACATCATCACATTCTTATTAGATCTTCGAATCTTCAAGTGATTCTTCAAGTGTTCTTGAGTTGAACACTTCTCTTCTTCAACACTCATCTACTGAAACTACTCAAGGTGAGTTCATACCCCTACATTTTCATGTTTTCTCAAATTTTTATGGGGGGGAAGGGGGGAATAGAAGTTAAAACACCAAGAACATAACTAAACTTTTCTAACAGCCTTCATCAGAAAAGTTCAACTCCATTCACGGACTGTTTTGGGCAACTTAAACACTTTTGTTTTCAAAACTGTACAAGTTGCAAGTAGTTCAAGTTCTTAGCTTTAAAATAACTATTTGCACACCTCCATACGATTTTTCTACAATTTATGGCGATTTTTACAAAACTTCCTATCATTTCAAACACCAATCGGGACCAATCTGTGATTATGGACTTTTTCACCAAAGTTGGAGGTCATTAAAAATAATGATAAAAATTATGAGTAAACTAGACACATTTTGGGAACTCTCAGAATTTACGGATTTAGTTTTCGACTTCGTATGGTTTTTCTATTACTTTTCTAAAACAACGCAGAAAGGTTAAATTTAGTTAACAACATATAAATTTCATTACACTTTGTATTATGTTGAGCAAAGCGTATAACCATAAGTTCTAAATATTGAATGTGTTACCTTGTTAGTTTATCATAATAAACTAAAACTTAGTCATTCATGATAAGATTATTCATTCATTTAGAACACGTATATTAAGCTATAATAAGCATAGTTTATGGATTCATAACACTAATGCATTTTCATAAAAGAGTTCTTATGTATTACAAATGTTTTGGATAAACGATAATAGGTATAGTTTATGATTCATCACATAACACACTCGTACAAAAAGGGTACATTCATACAAAAATGTTTTACACTCACGCACACCACACGTAAACTTGTTAACCTAAATTGTGAGACAATCTCTTTCCGTATGTCCGAGTGCGCGATCTAAATTCCGGGTAGTTATAATCAGAGTCTCCTGGAGGGAGAACATGATAATTGTGTATAGATCTATATTGGGTTTGACAATGTGACAACCCGGATCTATATTGGGATTGACACTTTATCAATAGAAGTTATATCAGTCACAGTAAACTTTCAGACTTTTCTGTATAAGTTTGAGTAATTTAGGGCTTACACTTCAGGAAATATCAGGAGAGTGGATGCACTAGGGTTTTGTACAACACTTTTATTGCAACACTCTATTATATTAGAGATCATTTCGAGAATAAAATATTTTCTGCCAAAAATCTCAGGACCATAAATAGAATTCTGAACCAAATTCATTCATTATTCGCATTTCCAACTAGAGAAAATCCATTTTCTCTCTCACGGATCTTTGGGTTTTTATCCCAAAACGTGAGTAACTCTCTCTAGTAGTGTTAGAAAGCTTATTATGTGTTTATAACATGATTTAGATAGCTAAATAACTAGATTTAGGAGTTTACTCCCCAAGGTGTTCTTGGGCGGTAAACTCCCGAAACAAAGCCTAGCCTTTCCGCCGTTATATGCTACTACCTTGGACTCGTATATGGGTGTATTTGGAACATGAAACCAACAAAGAATCACCAAGTTTTGGGTGTTCACGGCCCAAGAAGATCTCTGACCGTGAATTCCAAAATCATGGACAAAAGGGTGCTTTTAAGGCACCTAAAGCCTTGGACATTTACATGGAATTGTTCCCACTTAAATCAAGGACCTTAAACACATCAAAACACCCCTCAAAGTGAGTTCACGGCCATAATAAGGTTCTTGGGCCGTGAACATCAAACAAAGGCACCAAAGTGTGCCTGAGGCCTTCATATGCTTGGGATAAAAGTCTAAGACATATACCACATGTGCAAGAGACTTGAAAGCATCAAAAACACCATTTCTAGGGAGTTTACGGCAGTAAAATCCAAAGGAATTGGCCTTGGGGCCGTATACTCCTCTAAGGAGTGTTTCTATGCCCTAAACCCTTCCAAGAATTAAACCACCAAGTTGGAATACTTCTAGGGATCATTTGGAACCTCAAAACAACCAAGAACATTAAGTCTTGGAGTTTACGGCCGTAAACTCAAGAGTATACAACCGTAAACTCCATGTGTGAGGTTATATGGAGAGTAAACTCCACGTGTGAGGTTATTTGGAGAGTAAACTCAAGTATAGGGTCCTTTAGAACCCTAAACCCAAGTGCCTTGTCCCACAATAGCTTAGATGCAATCCTTAGGGCTTATAACACTTATATAAAGTGTTTATTATGTTCTAGGATGTCTTAACATTTTCAAATAGTAATTTAAGACTAATTGAGTGCATATATGTGTGATTATGTGTTCATTAGGATCGTAGTGTGTGTACAAGTCCTCACTTGACACTTAACAATCCTACACCGTCCAGTTCATCCAAACCACTATCTACAGGTGAGTTCATACCCCTAAATGAATATTTTAATTGATTTTAAATGCTTTAATGGGGGTGGGGGAATACAAGTAGAAAAGAGCATGTTAT